TCGAGAAATATTACAATGATCTTCAAGGGCTCTGGCGTGAGATTGATTTCCGCCGTCCTAATCCTATGCAATGTCCGGCCGATATTCTGAGGTACAATGCCATTGTTCATGAAGATCGAGTTTATACTTTTTTGGATGGTCTCGATGACCGCCTGGATAATGTTCGTGCTGATGTTATGAAGATGGATCCGTTTCCCACTATTGAGCAAGCTTATGCTCGAGTCAGGCGAGAGGATATGCGCCAATCTGTCATGCTCTCCACTCCTGTCGAGGTCACCTCTGGTTCCGCCATGGTGTCACAGCGGGGCAAGGGTGATCAGTTAGTGCTTTCTGCCCAGGGACCTCGCCCTAAACCTGGTATGCCAATTCAATCCGCGGGATGCTCTCACTGTGGGAATCCTAAACATATAGCAGCATCTTGTTTTAAACTGCATGGTTATCCGGATTGGTGGGATGATTTTCAGACCAAGAAGAAGAAACAGGGCTCCCAAAAAGGGCGGAATGGAGGGCAAGCCTCCTTAGTGACTAGCGGCTTGTCATTAATTCCCATGGAGACTGAATCTGCTAATGCCGAATCTCTTGAAGGTAATTGTGGGTTTGTCTTTGCTAATGGACATGGTGATGGTCATCATGGGTGGATAATTGATTCTGGCGCTACAGATCATATGACTCCGGAATCTGGTGATCTTCTTACATCTACTACACCACGTCGAGATCATATTTACAATGCTAATGGATATAGCTTCCCTGTGACGGCTGCTGGGCGTGTGTCTGTCACGCCTTCTCTCTCTCTATCTCATACCTTGCTTGTTCCTTTATTGTCTAATCGCTGCATTATCGGTTGGACAGCTTACTAGTGAGTTGAACCGTGTTGTGCTTATGTACCACGATTTTTGCCTGTTTGGGACATTCTCACGAAGGAGATTATTGGGCGTGGTACTAAGAGGGAGGGGCTGTATTTCGTGGATGAAATTACTTCTGGACGGACCTATCATTTTCGTGGACAGTTAGCTCAAGAGAAGGAACTTTGGTTATGGCACCGTCGGTTAGGTCACCCATCTTTTGGGTATTTACGGCATTTGTTTCCCAAGTTATTTCATGGTCTATCGAACTCTAGTTTTCAATGTGATACATGTAATTTGGCAAAGAGCCATCGTACTTGTTTTCCTCCCAGTTTGAATATAAGTTCTGCTCCTTTTTCCTTAATTCATTCTGATGTATGGGGTGCGTCTCCTATTACTACTGTATCTGGGTTTAGATGGTTTATCATCTTTGTTGATGATTGCACACGTATGACTTGGCTATATTTGATGAAACATAAGAATGAGGCTGAAGCTATCTTTCGGACTTTCCACCGTATGATTCAAACTCAGTTTGGGGCCAAACTTCAGGTTCTCAGGTCTGATAATGGTGGCGAATACTTAAGTAAACATCTTGCAGATTATTTTCAAGAACATGGTTTGATACATGAAACTTCTTGCCCTCAGACTCCTCAGCAGAATGGTGTTGCTGAGCGCAAGAATCGCCATCTTCTTGAAACCACTCGAGCACTCTTGGAGGGTAGCCATGTTCCCCATCGTTTTTGGGATTCTGCCGTAGTCACAGCTGCTTATTTGTTAAATCGCATGCCTTCCCGCATTCTGAGCTATCGCACGCCAATGCAAGCACTTGCTGCCCATGTGTCTCTTCCTTCGGTTTTTACATTGCCTCCTAAGGTGTTTGGGTGTGTCGCTTATGTCCATCTTCACAAAAATCAGCGGACCAAACTTGACCCTTGTGCAGTCAAATGTGTGTTTCTTGGTTATGGCCCTTCTCAGAAAGGGTATCGGTGTTATGATCTTGCCGAGAAGCGCATGTATGTCACCATGGATGTAACATTTATTGAGACGGAGTCCTATTTTCCTTCCCCCCAGTGTCCTGTTCAGGGGGAGACTAGTTGTAGAACCAGACATTGGTGGGAGGTGGGAATTGCGGGAGCGACGGATGGGTGTGCACGTGATCTTGAGGTTGCACGTGATTCTGAGGCTACTGATACTGAAGATTTTGAGCTACTGTCGCACGATTCTGAGGATGCACGACCAGACAACACTGAATTACGGCATGGGTCCGAACAGGTGTCAACAGATGCACAGCTGCAACTGTCAACAGATGCACAACTGCAACAGCCCTCCTTGTCTTTGCCCTCTTCGCCCTCTTTAGTACCACTCCAAGCTCCTGAGAATGTACCTGAGGTAAGTACTTCTACTGTACTTGATTCTTTTGAAGATACTGATGTGCTTACTGGTTATAAGCTACCCGATAGGCATAATAGGGGTAAACCACCGAATCGATATTCTCCAGATGTAGAGGACCGCCGGTCTCGATACCCTATTGCAGACTATGTGTCTGCCAAGAGGCTGTCCACACCACTACAAGCCTTCGTGTTTACGATTTCCTCAGTTCAAGTTCCAAATAGGGTTGAAGAAGCCATGAAGGATCCGAAATGGCTTCAAGCGATGGAGGCAGAGATGGAGGCGTTGGAGAAAAATCGAACTTGGAAACTTGTGGAACTACCAAAGGATAAAAAGCCGGTTGGATGTAGGTGGGTGTTCACAGTCAAACATAAGGCAGACGGCACTATTGAGAGGTATAAGGCGCGACTGGTAGCTAAAGGGTATACACAGACTTATGGGGTGGATTATCAGGAAACATTCTCTCCAGTTGCAAAGTTAGACACTATAAGAGTGTTGTTATCTCCGGCTGCAAACTTGAACTGGCCTTTGCATCAATTTGATGTGAAGAATGCATTTCTTCATGGAGATTTAGAGGAGGAGATCTATATGGAGCTTCCACTGGATACGATGCTGAGATAAGCCGAACATGGTGCGTAGTTGGAAAGATCATTGTATGGGTTGAAGCGGTCCCCTCGTGCATGGTTTGGTCGCTTTAGCTCAGCTATGAAAGGGTATGGATACTCCCAAAGTAACTCAGATCATACTTTGTTCTTAAAAGGTGCTCAAGGAAGAATGACAGCTCTTATCATATATGTAGACGACATGATTATTACAGGCAATGATAGTGCGAAGATTATGAGACTGCAGGGATTATTATCAAGCGAGTTTGAGATGAAGAACTTGGGAGGTTTGAAATATTTCCTGGGAATCGAGGTTGCTAGGTCGAAGGAAGGGATTTACTTGTCTCAGCGGAAGTATGTTCTTGATCTTTTGACCGAAGTTGGCATGCTAGATTGCAAGCCTGCAGACACTCCTATGGTACAAAACTGTAAGCTTGGAGAGTACCCTGATCAAACGCCTACTAATAAAGAGAAATACCAAAGGTTAGTAGGTCGATTGATTTACTTATCACATACACGTCCTGATATTGCTCATGCAGTAAGTGTGGTGAGTCAGTTCATGCATGCACCTAGTGAGGATCATATGAGTGCTGTGTAGCGCATCATTCGATATTTGAAGTCAGCCCCAGGAAAGGGGTTGCTATTTGCAAAGAATGGCCACCTTGAAATAGAAGGTTACACAGATGCAGATTGGGCTGGAAGTGTGACAGACAGGAGGTCTACATCAGGGTATCTTACATTTGTGGGAGGCAACCTTGTTACGTGGAGAAGTAAGAAACAAAAGGTTATAGCTCGGTCTAGTGCAGAAGCTGAATTCAGAGGTGTAGCAAAGGGGTTATGCGAACTTCTATGGCTTCGAAAGCTGCTAACTGAGCTCGGGTATCCACCAGGTTTGGAAATCAAATTGTTTTGTGATAATAAAGCAGCCATAAATATTGCTCATAATCCAGTTCAGCATGATAGAACCAAACATGTGGAGATTGACAGACATTTCATCAAAGAGAATTTGGAGGCAAAAGTGATCCAGTTACCATTTGTCAAGTCTGAAGACCAGTTAGCTGATATATTGACAAAGGCTCTGTCAAGTAGAGAATTTCATTGCTCACTTATCAAGTTGGGTATCAAAGACATCTTTGCACCTACTTGAGGGGGAGTGTGGTCGTGAGCTATTTTAGCCTATTTGTTAGGCTTTTTTATTGTATAGATTTCTTCCTAGTATAGAATCCTTCCTATTGTATATCTCCTAATTAGGGTTGACATATGTCCTATATATACATTGTAAATGTACAGAAAACAGATTAATTGAATAGAAAAAGGAGAGTCTTTTCCTACACGACGGCATACCACTTTTACTGACTAACATGTTTGTGACATTACCCAATGTTGCCACATGAGTAGTAGGGTCACCTGGAAATGACCATTGCTTAGCGGTGGCTTAAAATCATGGGTAGTTGTTTTGTGTAGAATATAAGGTTCGGTGAAGTGGCACATTACCCCCTGGATAATACAAGTCTTGTATTGACTGTATAGCAACTGTTGGATCTAATCTAAATACTGTCCATTGGCCACAATTTGCTGTACTTCGCCCCCCAATCAATCAATGGTCTATGCGCAAACATGTACTGGATTAGATGAAAAATTAAAATGTTGGGAAGAAAACCGGAAATTACAGAAATTCAAGCCTAAAAAAACAAAAAGTCGAGAAGGTAGGGGAAACATTTCCTCCAAGTTTGTCACGTGGCAGACTTGAAATCTGCTGATTCTATGGAGAAATTTACAAGATCCAGCCAGCTGGTTCCTAGGTTTTATGAAGTTAAGAGTGGCAAAAATGGAAGTAACATCTAAATCCAGTTGTAAACTTCATGAGGAAACAATTTCATTGGAGATGTGGATTTCATTTTGCAATCTATTCTTTAGCTCTTCAGTTTATTAACTTGATCTACAATAAATCTAATTGACCTTTTGGTCTTCATTCCTTGTCAGACAACACTTCTTTTTTAGGCCGTGCTGAGAAATACAGTGATTACCGCAACTCTGGACAATAGCATATAAAAGAAAGTCTTGTAGACTATTTTTCTTGGAACCATCGTTAGTTCACATAAAACGTGAGGAGGAAACAAGAGTGCTTTTAGCACAAGGTGATCACACGAAATATCAATCCGTAATGAGGTAGATAACCAGAGACTGAACTTCTTTGCTCTCAGCACAAAGTGATTACCAAAAGGACGAATCGATCACTAGGAAAAACAGATATCCACATATGCATAAGCATTAATGTTATTGATCTAAATTGCTCTTCAGTTGTACATCTATCTATCTCCTTAAACTGGTGCTCCCTAAAAGAAGAAGGGAAAAGATCAACACCGTTTGTAAAATATGTTTACCAAATTGTGTCAAGTGTATCGACTAATCTATCTAGGAGTTCCCTAGTGAGGATTGATCATCCTTCTATGAGGTTGAGGAAAACTTCTTCATTGCATGGAATCGTGAGGCCTCCCATTGGATGATCGAAGCCAAACTCCTTCTCAGCTTGACTCAGCAGGTCCTGGAATGAAGGCCGAGATAAGTATGACAGAGGAACGACGAATCTCTTCTTTTGGTTTTCTCCTACATAAACTGGGAAATACCCCTTTGGAACGTCTAAGGGTGTTGAATTTACTTCTTTGTGACCAGATAGAGACCGCCGCAATTTTTTCCCTGGCAAACGGATCCCCATGATTATGTATATGAAAACTTTTTTCAAGAGGAAAGACTTGAAAGAAGATGTTGTGCCACTCACAGGAAGGAAATAGGAAGAAATGTGAATTCTGATTTGGTTGCAGAAGCAATGGCTTGGTAATGTATATATAGGGTGAGTGGATGGCAAGTGAGTTTATCCGCTAAGCTAAATGAGTGATAAAAGGTTTCAGCATATAGGGCCAAATGAGAGACATGACTGTTGGGAGTTCACACGTTGATGTCTGCCAAACCTCATGAAACTTTAGAGCTCATTATAGGAGCTTCATGCCCCACATCTCTTGAAGAGAGGATTCTCACAGGTCCCATTGAAATCTGAAGAGATTGTGGCTGATGTGAACAGCCTCTTGGGAAGTTATGGAGGACTATTAACAAACCATATGTAACAGAACTGATAACAACCCTCCCAAATTCAACGTGCCGGCGCCAGCCTGGCCCATTTGTGCCGGGCTTCTTTTTATGAAAAAAAAAATGCATGGCCCAGGTAAGAAACATAAACCCTTGAGATGTCACATGGTATTGTTTTCCAGCTAATGAACTAATGATGTCTACTTCAGAATGAAACTGAAGACATAATGCCCCACTTCAGAACATTCAATAGAGGTCCTGATAATTTCCTGGAGAGAGTGATGGTATGAGTGCCTCTTGCTAAAATTTGGTGGAACGACGGCGTACCACTTGTACCGACTGACATGTTTGAGACATTACCCGATGTTGCCACATGAGTAGTAGGCTCACCTGAAAATGACCATTGCTTAGCGGTAGAGGTGGCCACGGTTCGGAACCGACCGGTTCCGGTTCGTGGCCAAGTGTGAACCGGAACCGGTTCCAGGCCGGTTCCGATTTTTTTTTTTTCTGTTTTATTTCTTTTCTTTTTCCTTTTCTTTTTTTTTTCTTCCTCCGCGGCCAGCCATAGCCGGGGCCGGCGCGGAGGTCGCCGGCCTCAGGCGAGGCGGCCCTCGCCGGCGTCGGGGCGAGGCCGGCCTCGCCCAGCCCAGGAGAGGGCCGGCCTCGCCCGACGCCGTCGAGGTCGAGCCTCGCCGGTTGCGAGGCGAGGCCGAGCCTTGCCGGCGTCGGGCGAGGCCGGCTCGCCCGGCCCGGGAGGCGGCCGGCCTCGCCCGAGCCGGCGAGGTCGAGCCTCGCCGGTTGCGGGCGAGGCCGAGCCTCGCCGGCGTCGGAGAGGCCGGCCTCGGCCCCGCCCGAGCGAGCCGCCCTCGCCGAGCAGCCGGCGAGGTCCCCTCGCCCGACGCCGGCGACCTCCGCGTCGGCCCGGCCATGGCCGGCCGCGGAGGCCATGGCTGCTGCTGCTGCAGCATGGCCTGCAATGCAGGCTGTGCTGAAGCCTGCCTGCACCTGCAGCTTTTTTTTTTTTTTTTTTTTTTTTTTCGCAGAACCGGCCCGGAACCGGCGGTTCCGGGCCGGTTCAAATTTTTCTGGAACCGGAACCGGGCCCGTATGCCACGGGCCGGTTCCGGTTCCGAACCGCGGGCCCGGTCAACGGGCCGGGCCCGGATTTGACCGGGCCGGTTCCGGGCCAAAACCGGCCCGTGGCCACCTCTACTTAGCGGTGGCTTAAAATCATGGGTAGTTGTTTTGTGAAGAATATAAGGTTCGGTGAAGTGGCGTATTACACCCTGGATAATACAAGTCTTGTATTGACTGTATAGCAATTGTCGGATCTATTCTAAATACTGTCCATTGGCCACAATTTGCGTCCTAGTTGCACATTCGCTGTACCTCACCTCCGTATCAATCAATGGTTTATACGGAAACCTGTACTGGATTAGACATAAAATTAAAATGTTGAGAAAAAAACTGAAAATTACAGAGATTCAGGCCTTAAAAAGCGCAAAGTTGAGAGGGTAGGCAAAACGTTTGCCTGCAAGTTTGTGGGGTGGCAGACTTGTAATCTGCTGATTTTATGGAAAAATTACAAGATCCAACCAGCTGGTTCCCAGCTTATATGAAGTTAAGAGTGGGAAAAATGATAGCAACAGCTAAATGAGATGTAACAGTCCTGGAAACTTCATGAGGGAAGAATTTCGATGGAGATGCAGATTTCATTTTGCAATCGATTCTTTAGCCCTCAGTTTATTAACTTGATTTTCAATAGATCTAATTGACCTTTTGGTTTCCATTCCTTGTCATACACCAATTCTTAATTAGGTCGTGGTGAGAAAAACAATGATTACTGCAAATCTGGACAGTAGCATATATAAGCTCCTCTTGTAGACTTCTTTTCTTCGAACTATCGTCAGTTCACATAAAAAAAGAGGAGGAAACAAGTGTGCTTCTAGCACAAACTGATCACACTAAATATCAATCGGTAATGAGGTATATATCCTTAGACTGAATTTCTTTGCTTCTAGCATAGTGCTTACCAGAAGGATGGATCAATTACGAGGACAACATGAAATCCACATATTCATGAGAATCAATGTTATTGATCTAAATTGCATCTTCAATTGTACATCTGTCTATCTCCTTAAACTGGTACCTCCTAAAACAAGAGGGAAAAAGATCTACACCGGTTGTAAAATCTATTTACAAAATAGTGTCTAGTGCATAAACTGGTCCATCTAGGAGTTCTCTATTCACGATGATCCATCTTTGAGGTTGAGGAAAACTTCTTCATTGCATGGAATCGTGAGGCCTCCCATTGGATGGTCGAAACCGAACTCCTCCTCAGCTTGACTCAGCAGGTCCAGGAACGAGGGCAAAGACAAGTATGACAGAGGAATGACGAATCTCTTCTTTTGGTTTTCACCTACATAAACTGCAAAATGTCCCTTTGGAACATCTAAGGCTGCTGAATTTACTTCTTTGTGACCAGATAGAGACCGCTGCAACCTTTTTCCTGGCAAATGGATCCCCGTGATCAAGTGTCTGAAAACTTTCTCAAGAGAAAAGACTTAAGGAAGATGCTATGCCTCTCACAGGAAGGAAATATGAAGAAATGTGAATTCTGATCTGGATGTAGAAGCAATGGCTATGTAATGTTATTTATAGGGTGAGTGGATGGCAAGTGAGTTTATCTGCTAAGCTGAATGAGTGATAGGAGGCTTGAGCATATAGGGTCACATGAGAGACATGGACTGTTGGGCGTTCATATGTTAATGTTTGCCAAACCTCATGAAACTTCAGAGCTCATTATAGGAGCAAACATCATGCCCCACATCTCCTGAACAGAAGATCCTCACAGGTCCTACTGAAATCTGAATGGATCGTGGTTGATGTGAACAGCCTCTTGATGAGTTAGAGAGGACTATTAACAAAACATTTGTATCAGGACTAATCACAACCCTCCCACCTTCAACATGTCAAGGTCGGCCTGGCCCATTTTGTGGTGTTAGAAAGTCCAACCCAAAAGCTTAAGCTAAGAGGTGAAGGAAGACCACATGAATATAAAGAGCATATGAAATTTTTACCACGCACATTCGTGAAAGGGATAGCATTGGCTCTGATACCATGTTAGAAAGTCCAACCCAAAAGCTTGAGCTGATAGGTAGAGGGAGATCACATGAATATAAAGAGCATTTAGGACCCGTTCTCAATCGATGTGGAATAATACTTCAACATATGGATAGCTCGCTAATGGCATACATAGGTGAGTGGATGGCAAGTGACTTTACCTGCTAAGTTGAATAAGTGATAGGGTATGGGGCCAATGAGGCCTGGAGTCTTGAGACTTCACGTGTTTCAATGTCAGCATCTGCCAAAACTAATGAAAAAATTCAAGCTCATTATTTTAGAAACATCTTGCCCGATATTTCCTAAGAGGATCCTCAAAGGTCCTACTGAAATTCTGAATAGATTGGTTGATGTGAAAAGCCTCTTGTTAGTTAGAGAAGAGTGATGCAAACCATTTGTCATCGCATGTTGGAGACATCCACCGATTTTGCCACGTGGCATGGGGCAGAGTCTATCATGAATTTTAATGATTTTCTGCTAAATTAGTCATATTTAGGCGTACTACAATGATCAAGATAACCACCATCTGTTTTTAAGTCCATATAGAATAACATAATCAAGATGTTGAAGTTATACTTACCACTGGCAGAGTCTAGTTTCGCACTAGATGTCTCTGTCACTGTCCACTCAAAATACAGGCAGAGATATATGTACGGGAAACTTTTGTGTAATCATTAGACAATTAGACAATCAGTGTAAAGGTCACATGATCATCCTCAGTGGACTTAGCCATTGTGCTGCTACCACATTTGTATCTTTGGGCAAAACTGGCTTTATGAGTCACAAAGTCATACCTAATATGAACCAGCTGGTTACCTATAGCTGAATTTGTCTATTATCCAAATTGATTTGCTTAAGAACGTATGGATTTATGAATTACTTTTTGGTTATTTTGGTCAGAAAAATGAAAAAGGATATGACAAGTGGGAGTGCTCCTGCTCAGCAAGAAGACACAATTTGTTAGTACTGAATTACGAAATTATTTCTTATTAGCAATGGAAAAACCAGATAAAATGGTTGCAGCAAGTATGCTGCAGAAATGAGTGAGAAACATGATTGCGACTGGCAGTTAGAGATGCTGAAATAAGACTTAACACCATTTGGCATGTGCTGGAGTCTGCAAATGGAGGCATACAGCAATACTCACAATCACTTCCTGTGTGTAGGTCTTTATTTCTTGATGCATCATTTCATCTATTTGCAAGCTGACAGACATTACCATGAAGCTCATGTGACGTGTTCCCCACCTCTGGTTATTTTGTGCAGACGGATATTAGAACAACCAACAGCAAGCATCTAAACAGAAAATATGATAGTTTGTCAAATACATCTAAGCTCCTCTCTATGGTGTAGCATACCTTTTAGAAGATTATAAAAAGACCAAGTTCAAGACATACCGTAATAGCAGAGCTGACATTTTGATATTCATCTAATGGGAATAGAAAAACAGATTTAATGCAGCTATATCCATATTGAAACCAAGCTGCGTTGAAAAATTTACATTTTTTGTTTCCAACTCTGTTGAGCTCAATTTTTATATTGGCGTGATAGCATCAGTTTCCTTTTCAAATGGCATTTGTACATCTTTATGATGGATCAGCTGCACACATTCATGGAGCCTCAAGGTGAATTGACAAGGAACATGACCACCATAGAAAACAAATCAATAATCAAATGAAGAAGAACGTGAACATAATATTCACTTTGAAGACCAAAACTTCACCTCTATTTGAGAAACTTTCAATTTACAAATTTCTCAGGTCAAAATCATCCTTATCAGTGATGTTAGAGAGGCAATCATGTCCTTCAAGAAGCGATTCTACACTGAATAATCCGCCTAGAAGCTGCAAGTGAGGTCAACAAAGACTTCTTCTCTGCAAGGGATTGTGAGGCCACCCATAGGATGATCGAATCCAAACTCCTCTTCAGCCTGACCTAGCAACTCTTGGAATGATGGGTGATTCAGGCAAGAAACCTGTAACACGAATCTCTTCTGCTTTTCTCCAACATAAACAGCCAAGTGCCCTTTAGGAACATCTGCATTTTCTGTTGATGAAAGAACACGGCGAAGCATATGCTTAGCAGAAACCATCTTGGGGTAGCGAATGGCCATCAGTTTTAGAGATATATTCAAGAAAAGTTGTGTTCTTTTTTCTTGCAAGGGATGGGAATGAGAGAGTATAAATATGGAAGCCTTGAGAGCAAGGTTTGAAATTCTGTATTGGTGGTATACTGGGTGGTGTGTGCGTGTATATATAGAGAAGTAGATGAGCAGAACATTGTTCAGCTAACTTGAATGATTGATGACGAGTATCGGCATGCAGGGCCAAGCTAGAGGGACAAGGACTCGTGAGAGATCACATGGTGGTGTCTACCTGCCAAACCATCGTGGAGATAATGAGAGTAAGTACTGGAAGAAAACACAGTGCCCCAACATCTTCCCAGTTTCTGAAGAGGTCCTACTAGAACTATGAGGACATCCTCAGCTGGCTCGAGAAACTCTCGTAAATATATGTTTGAATTCATTGACTTGATGGAGACATCAACTAATTAATTTTTCCACATCTGGGGTATCATCGAAAATTAAAGATACATTACTCGGTTTGTTTAGAATGATTATTTATTATTTATAGTTTGTTTCTTAATATAATTGAGAGTTGCTCATTATTTAATTTTACAAGTTTTTGAGAAATGAGTAATGGAGTCATGATTCCTCCGGTCATACTAGCACCAAACATAAGAATGATGGAATGTGCCTGGTTTTTTCAAACCAAACAGAACGTAAGTACAAACGAAGATAGTATCAGTCTTTGCACGTTTCAATCTCCATCAGAGTGCTTTCAGATCTATTCAGAAATCTGTTGATGACGGAAAGAGGTTGCTAAAACTGATGTTATGGGACACCGGACTATACTAACAGCTTGTGCAGAAGAAAGAGAAAATGCCTAGGTGAATATGAGGAGTACAAGGTCACTGTCAAGAGTCCATACGCCGACCGCTCAATGCCCTGTTCCAGCACATACGGCAGTCATTAGATTATCCTCATACGACCCATGCCGTCTGTCTCTCCGGCCTTACCTTCCGTAGTCCTGGACAAACCAGTGCTCACACGAGCAGATGAACGATACATGGCACAGGCCAAAGTGACACCTCCAGATATCTGCATGTGGTCAGACTTCAAAGGAGAAAACTATTGATTTATGGAGATGTCTTGTTCAGTATAGATGTAGAAATGGGTGATCAAACATATGCTCAGCCGAAGTGGTGATCATTCTGTTGACCCAACAACTTCTTCTTCCCTTCTCAGCAGGGATAGAAACAGCACTTGCAGCATCCAAGTGATACCAGCCTTCAGACATTGGACGTTGAAATTACAGATAAACGGACTTCGGCGAGGCCTAATCCTGAAATGATTCGGCCTCGCGAAACCCAAAAAACCAATCATATGTGCGATGGTCTCAGCCTTAAAGGCTTAAGCCATCGCATGAGGAACTCCTGGGGCTTGTCATGGGCTTCTAAATATGTCCAAAGATTACCTCAAAGCCCATTGGCCCACTTTAGTACACGTGTCATGACAAGATCCATTAGAATATATCCATCAGCCGGCCGGCGGGAGTGAGAAGTTTGGGATTTGTTTGGTGTTTCTTCCATCGATCATCCGGATTTATGCCGTATATCAACATATTATGGTTTCAAGAGCCATCCATTATGAAAATATCTTCCTCTTGAGTGGATATGTGGATTGTAGCAGTGCCTAACCTACCTTAGATTTGCTAGCATATTACTTCTCTAGAAATATCTCCTTTTTTCCCTCTCTCCCTCCTCTAATTCTTCTATCACATGCCTTCTCTTATTTCCAATTCAAGTTTTCGGAAAGATGAAAGCTTATTTCTACAAAATCTAGATAAAAACAAATGGTTTTAAAACAAGTGTATCACGAAGAAAGACCGAAGTTTCATGGAATATATTATTTTTTTTATTGCCTTTAAACCACAACTACAAAAAATGAACGTTAAAGAAATTATAGAATGTGTTGCGAAACAATGTATTATTATCTCCAACAGAAGGGAATCATTCTAGTCAAAAGTTTCATTTTCCGAAGATTAGATTTCCAAGTGACGGGCGAGAAGGCCGACTAACTCCTCCGAAACTAAATCCTCCGTGATTTATATGAAGATTGACCCACATTTCATTGTTTCGTATCTTATTCCATTCATATATAATAAAGCTCTAACATTTTTCTTATCTTTAAGGTTCATGGACAAGTTAGCAACTTAGCACGGTCGAGGTAGGCCAATCCTTGCTCCTTTGACTCCCTTATCCGATTATCTCCTACTTGCTTCATTGAATACAATCATATTAGCCACCTTATTCTTTAATCCAGCTATCAGCTTCGCGACTTTAGTCATGGAAGATATTTTTTAAGGTTATCTGTCTTGTGGTCACAAACAATTAGAAGGGTATCTATACACAAATGTGGACGCAATATGTTTGCGTGTCTATACAAAAACTGTCTCTGTAATTGTCGGACAACCACGACTTCTGTTCACATCTCATGCTAAAATCCAAATGATTCAGGAGACGAACTCGGCCATTCAAGGTAGAGCTAGCTGAGGGAGAGAGGGTCGGGTCTTGGCTGTTTGGCACTAACAGAAAAGGCAAAAGGACTAAAATGAGGGCAAGTTCAAGGCTCCTGCGATCTGTGATAATCCCGCATGACTTTCTTTAGCATGTGCTTCGATTATTATCAAAAGAAGTGGATATAGTGCCAAGAACATGCAGCCCCAAAAGACTATAAATGGAAAATAAGCAAACACAAGGGCAACCAATCCACATAAAATAGCAATTTTTTAGCACCACCTGCTTGTTGCCCCCAAGTTGGTAGGGCATGATGTCCTGGAAATCGTAGGGCAAAAGCATGTGGACTTTACCCTATTCACTCACCTGATGTGTTCCTAAACTGCCTTCCATTGATCAATATTTTATCCACGACTTTTGGCATGCTAAACTCTCCCTCTATAAATGCGCGTGCTTTGTTCGTGGACCAAAAACCATACGAACAGCATTTCGAGAGCCAAAGTCCTTTCCGTCAAATCTTCAACAGCACTCCATATTATTATCCTCCCAGATATTGTAAGAGAGATGGGCATCCAGCTTATGGGAATCACTCATGCGAAGCAAAAGCTCCGGCGCACTCTATCGGCCCGAATCCGAGCAATGTCAGCCACGTCCAACGTGCCGAAGGGCCACTTCGCGGTCTATGTTGGGGAGTCGAAGAAGCGGTTCGTGATCCCTCTGTGGTACCTCAAGCACCCGCTGTTCCGGAGCTTGTTGGACATGGTCGAGGAGGAGTTCGGGTTCGATTGCCCGACCGGCGTTCTCACTATTCCGTGCAGTGAAGACTACTTCACTAGTCTAACTTCTGCCTTGAGCTGTTGATCGCTGCAAATGGATATGGCATCACGGCTTTGCAGCTTCTTTCTTTTCTTTTTTCATGGTTATTGGGAGGATTTGTAGTTTTTTTCTCTACCAAGGGCAAGAGACTTTCCACAAGGGAGTCTCTCAAATTTTGCCACATTGACGACTCTTTGCTAATCGTTCGTACATTGTATTTCTTGCAAAATTTGTAAATAAATGATTTCTTGCAATGAAATGGATTTATATATGTGGTCGTTCAATTAGTTTACAGTATATGCCTTTGAGCTATCATTATGGCACACTTTTGTGAAGTGTTTCTAAACCTAATCTACTTTACATAAAAAGGGTTACCGTCCGAATTAGCGTTATGGGGAGAGCTAATTTGAATTAATATCTTCAACTTAGTTTCCTTACGTCCAACATCGGTGGATGAACTGCACACACAAGGTACCCTTCATGCTTTTGACATGTATCATCGTACTGGAGATCTTACTACCCATTAGTCGTCATAGAACGAGGAACATAAAGATCACATGTGAATCATGAATTCGCAGTTGGTGGATACAACAGAGAACATACACTTTCGGGAACTCCAGGGCCTTCTTTTGCGGTGCTACTACTTGTCAAAGATGTGAATAATAACTTCTTGGTAGTCCCAGTATGCTTGGATAAGCCGAGAATTTCTCAGTTTGGACCGTCACGAAGATTTGACGGGCCAAGTGAGAAAATCAAGGCGGAATTATAAGACAAACTCCAAGTCTCAATCAACATTTTAGCACCATATTTATATCTTCTGAAATAATAATTTGTAGAAGCCTATGGGTGTCTAAATAGGACCCAAGATTTTTTTTAAAAAAATTAGAACTTAGGTTACAAAAATGTGTTTGCAAATATTACTTTCAGGGTATTTGAATCATTTATCTTTCAACTATTTAAGTACCCATTTAGGTTACACTGGCACGTTTCAATAAGAAGAATCCTAATGTGTCCGATAGGCATCTTGATTGCTTTGCCGCAAACAAAGCTGCAAACAAAATCATTCATTGATGACGACTGAAACTAAAAAAAGAAAGAAAAATAATACCTATTGTTTCACCAGAAAATGCTCCCGCGGCGAAATATAATTTACCGAAAGTCGTTCTTCGGTTCTTAATGTGAGGAGACCGGATTCCGTGGCGACTCCGGACAGGAAATATTCAGGGAGACAAGGAAAAACGGCGAACTTTTACTCCGAACTTCGAACCGGACTATATGTACAAACCGTGCCGGAATTTAATCGACGACAAAACTTGAAAATACAGCCGCACACGTACACAAAGATGTAACGCCGGAATTTAATCGACGACGCAACACTCGGGATAGAGATACACGTCGGAATTTAATCGACGACGCGAATCGGAAAGCTACAGCTAAGGAAAGATAAAGTGCGGTACATGAAAGTAAAGATAATTGAAAGATAACATGTTGTTTGATTTTTTGTCGGGGGCTTCTCTCCAGTAGATGGCCAGTGATATTTATAATGGTCGTGTGGTAACTGCTTCTTAGCAGTTTTCAACAGTTGTACCCATGTTCTTCCATTCCGAAAATCTTGTCTTCATGTCCATGTGATGCCATGATTCTGCTTTCAAGATAACTATCTCACGATCTTGTCCACAAGTGATAACTTCTTCATAATCATGGTTCCAAGTAACTGTTCTCTAAAAATACGCATGTATGCTCCTTAGTGATTTTCAATAGTTACGTTGAATCCATTACCTTGACGGTTTTCTTTTTACTCCACTACGTTGGCGGTTGCTTTGACTCTACTATGTTGACGGTTACTTCTTCTTTCT